CTCTCTCTCTCTCTCTCTCTCTCTCTCTCTCTCTCTCTCTCTCTCTCTCTCTCTCTCTCCTTAAGCCAGAAAATGAAGTGGGATTTGGCTGACAAAAGCACCTGGCAAACTAGGCGCTTCAGCATCTCAGGCGTATCCCAGGGCACCATTTTGGCAGGGTGGGCCTTTTACTTTTTCCTCTTCTTAATAAGTTCCGGCGTTCTCCCCCTGTGGAAAAAGGCCCGGAGACTTGGAAGACTTGGAAGAGAGATATTTCCCCCCCACCCCCCCCACCCCTTTAAGCTGGAGAGATTTCTTGCTGGGGACAGCAGAAACTTCTGCCACAGGGGCTCTGCCAGGAGGGTGAGGCCAATGGGTGCTGTAGTTTTGGAGCAGCTGGAGGGTTGCCCTTCTCCCAGATGCACCTGGGGAGGGGAGGGGAAATAGGTTGACTGTGGTGGCAGGCCTGTGGATCAGAAAGCCACCCAGGAATGGGAGCATCTGGATTTTATCTGTTCTAGAGCAATCCTTTAATCTTTCATTGAGACCAGGGTAAAAACTAAAACATTAAAATAAAATATCTCACTACTACTTCTACTACTATTGCTACTACGGATGATGATGATGATATATATTTTAAATGTTCAGCTGACTGAGTTTCATGTTCAATGAATAAAAGAGATAACAATACATTTGAAGAAGATCAAATGTATATCTATATATACATATACATACGTATGTATGGATGTATGTATGGATGGATGGATGGATGTATATAGCATCCTAGGTCAAAACCTAGGATGATGGCAGGAACCCGTATCAGCACCAGTCAATGATATTTGCGATATATTTTTAAATGTTCAATTGACTTGAGTTTCATGTTCAATGAATAAAAGAGATAGTAATGATGATGATGCGAATTATTTGCACACTGAAGTTGAGTGACTATGGAGGTAGACATCAGCGGACGTACCAGTAGTAACAGGAGCCCTTGTTACTCAAAGGGCTGCCTAGATAAATGGAAATGTTGAACTTATTAGACTTGAATATCCTGACTTTGCAAAACAAAAAAAAACCCCAAACCACCCTACTTGGAACTGCATATATACTCAGGTGCTCCTTAACAGCTCTTAGGTCCTTAGTTAGGGCTTGAACTGTTAAGTTTTTACTAACAGTTCAAGTCCTAACTGTGAATCAAGCTGACGATTAAATCAATAATAATAATAATAATAATAATAATAATAATAATAATAAAAATGTAATGTGCTTATTTGTTCCTGAAACTCATGGAAGCCTGTGTATGTGTGTATGTGTATGTATAATCTCTCTGTGTGAGTGTGTGTGTGTGTCTCTCTCTCTCTCCCTCCTCCTGTCCATCCCTGGTACTCATGAAAGAATATTTGTGTGTGGTTGTCTTTGTGTGTGAGTGCGCGCGAGCATATGCACAGGCACCCACATGCTTCCATGAATGCCAGGGACCTCCTAAGCCCTGAATCCTTAACCCTAAGACATTTGCTCTGCTTGGATGCTTATTTTGGCCAAAAGAAACTACCGGTTTCCTGGACTTTAATTCATAGGTTTGGCTCCCTTCCTGACCCCCTTACTCCACCAGCAACAGGGCTGAGTCTGCGCCACAGGGCAGCTTCTCCGAGGGGAGGGGGTGGCTTGCGGGTTGTGGGGAAGGAGAAAGCAATGGGTGCACCCACTCGTTGTGCTGGCCTGGCAGCCTGCTTGACCTACTCAATGCCTGTGTTTGATGTGTGTGTGTGCGCATGGGGGGGGAAGCCTGGCTGACCCACTGGTTGTGCTGGCTTGGCAGCCTGCTTGACCCACTGCCAGGCAGTCTTGCATTTGGGGAGGGGGGCGGCTGTTGGGAGCTCCCTGTCCCCCCCTCCCCAGCCCCCAGCCCCGTGCTGGCTCCTCCGACTGACTGTTGCTCTTCTTTTTGTAGAGCCTAGCGATGTCTCCCTTCGGCAGCCTCTTCCCCTACCCTTACACCTATATGGCGGCGGCGGCGGCAGCCTCGACGGCCAACCCGATGCACCGGCACCCGCCTTTCCTGAACACCGTGCGCCCTCGCCTGCGTTACAGCCCTTACTCCCTCTCGGTGCCTCTGCCGGACAGCAGCGGCGGCGGCGGCGGGGGCAGCTTGCTCACCACCGCCATGCCTCCTTCCCTGGCCGGCGGCCCCGAAGGCAAAGCCAGAGCTTTAGCGCCCAGCCCCGGGTTGGGCGTCTTGGATTCCTCCGGTTCCGAGCTCAACAGCCGCTCTTCCACGCTCTCCTCCTCCGGGTCGGACAAAGAGGCCACCAGCGAGCTACAAAACATCCAGCGCTTAGTGAGTGGACTCGAGTCGAAACAGGACAGAGCCAGGAGCGGGTCGCCCTAAGGGTGGGGTGGGGTGGGGTGGGAGTGGGGAAGGGAGCGTCCTCTTCCCCTCCCCCCCATTGCAGTATGGGGGAGGGGAGGGGCACCTCCCGTTTCTCCCTCTCTCCCCCACCCCCGACCCCCGCCCTCCACGCCTTATGGGGCCCGTCCGGCCTCTCCCAACTTGGGCAGCGGGAGTGTGTGGGGCTGGGGTCCCGGGGTGGGGGTGGGGGTGGCGAGAGATGGAAGGAAGGAAGGAAGGAAGAAGGAAGGAAGGAGGGGGGGAGCGCGCGAGAAGGGGGGGGGGGGGGGGGGGGGCGCTGCTGGAAGCAGCTATGAACCACTGTTTTGTCCACTGGAGGCAGGTGTGAATTCTGGGGTCCTCCTCTCCCCTTCCTTCCCTCCCCCTCCCCGCTTTCCTTTTCCCCCCTTTCCTTCTTTTTTCCCTTTCCTTTTTTCTTTCCTCCTTTTTTCCTTTCCTTTGTTTTCCTTTCCCTTTTCCTTTCCTTCTTTTTTCTTTCCTTTCCTTTTTTCTTTCCTTTTTTTTCTTTCCTTTTTTCTTTCCTTCTTTTTTCTTTTCTTCTTTTTTCTTTCCTTCTCTTTTCCTTTCCTTTTTCCTTTCCTTCTTTTTTCTTTCCTTTCCTTTTCTTTTTTTCTTTCCTTCTTTTTTCCTTTCCTTCTTTTTTCCTTTCCTAGTTTCTTTCCTTCTTTTTTCCTTTCCTTCTTTTTTCCCTTTTCTTTTTCCTTTCCTTCTTTTTTTCTTTCCTTTTTTCCTTTTTTGGGGGAGGGGGCTTGTTCCTGCCTCCCTTTACAGATCAAAGCAGAGATGTGAAGAGAAATGGGCAGCCTCTTTTGTGCCCCCCCCCCCGAGAATTTGCTTTTTTTTTTTTTTT